CCCGACCTACACAAACCGTAACTCCCTCACACAAACCTTCACTTTGCCGAGAGAAACCAAGCCTATTCCCAGAATCACCATCATGCCTTTCAGCAAAAACCGAGTCCCTCTCAACCACTGGTGCAAAGGAATGAGATACAGTGGCTGTCCCACCCATCTCCCGTCCCAATGAAGTCTTTGTCCCCCCCAAAAAAGGAGAAGTAGTAGAAGAAGAGCATGGCTTAGGAGGAGAAGTATCAAAAGGAGTTGAAAACATACCCGGATCAAAACCCGATTGCGAAGATGCCACCCATTTTTGTTTATCCTTTCGTGACCACTTTTTGCGAAGAGCGGTAAGGATAATCTTTTTCTTAGGCAAACGATGTCTCAGCACCGAATCCTTCACTCGCCGATCAACCTTGACTCTTGCTTTCGTCGAACCAGCAGCACAAGGATCTCTGTCATGTCTCGAGGAAGACAAGGGCTCAAACCTGTTAGACACCAACCCAGATCCACAACTCGACCCACTCTTCAACCCCGAAAACCCACCAACAGAAAATCTTTAGAAGATTGGGCGCTCGGCCCACCATCCACATCACAAGAAACTTGCACACCACAGTCCAAATCCATGGAACCCGAAATAGGCCTTTTAGAAACTGAAATAGGCCTTTTAGGCCCAACAAGCGGCCCAACAGACTCAGGTGCAACATTACAAGAAACAAGAGCCCCATTACCAAGTCCACCATCAAGCCCGACTGAATTGGGAGCCGAATTTGGTGGGAACAGCTGTTCTCCACTGGGAACGGACAAGGCCTGAGCGCCAACCACGTGGATGGTCTGGAAACCTTCCCCTCCCACGCGCCTGCTGAGCGTGGAAACCACCACGTCGTTTTGTTTGATCCCACTGCTGCACAAAAGGCCGACGACCATTTCCGGCTAGACCTCCGCCCCATTGCATCTTCCGAAACCTTCTTGCCGTCCGTGATTCGGCAAAAAAGGAAGCCCTTCCTTTCAATTCTGATTGAAGAACCTTTTAAAGCACTCCGAATTACCAATCCAAAGCGTGTCTCTCCATTCCTTCCATACCTGGAACTCTGCCATTCCTTTTTTCCCCATGGATTCCCACCGCAGCCATTATTTCTCCTTAAGCAACTGCGAACCATCACCGCCTTCCAATCTATCTGTTGTCGGAACAAGCTCGGGATGCTTCTCCTCCCAAATAGACACCTTATAGCAGAACTGGTCATCATGAATGAATACAAACGGAGGGCAAACCCTACCATCAGAGACCGTGATTCGGACTCTTTCAGCGTCCAAAGCTTCATCAGCATCCACCCAAATAAACCCACCACAAAGATCGCCGATTGTCACGAACAGAGCATGACTCCAAAGGTGGAGAGGAAGACAGTACAACGTCACCTTCTTCAGCCCCTTCTCTTTAAACACCTTCGAGCACCCTACCCTAAAACTCCAAGCTTCCAAACAAAGAGATGTCGTGCCCCAGTCACGGCGACCCCCCTTGAGAACACGAGAAGCTTCCGTTGAGGAGGGAAACCGGAAAAGCAATAAAGAATCCGGTAGAGGCAAGACCGTCACACCAGAGGAGACCTTCCAAGCACGCGAGGCCTAAGCTGCAATTTGAGCCCCATCACCCACTTCCTTATCAAATTTCCCTCCTAGACACGACAGAAGGTCTTCTCTTCTTTTTTGAACCGAATCATCATCCAAGAAAATCGATGGGCCTCTATACGGATTTGCAGATCTAGTAGATCCACCTTGGAACAAGCGTGGCAATCTAGCAACCTCTAGAAAGAGCGCATGACAGAGAAAAAGAACCAAACCAGACAAACAACCAACAGCAACCACGACGAACCACAGATCCAACAGAGAGAGAGAACAACGAAAGAAAAAATAGTAGAGGATTTCACCGGAGTTAATGACTCCGGTGACTGGTCGGAGCAGTAGACCCTGACCGCGTTTCTACCACGTCAAGCTCTCTCCGTCAAGCTCTAAGATGACACACATGGGAGGAGCATGCATAAGCCCATGTCCCTAATAAGGGGGATTGTGATATTCCATATTACTGAGGTTTAAAGGGATGAAATTGGTCATAAGTATGAAAAGAGCAAGAAAATTTCAGCCTTGTATTCAGCAATTTCCATAATTTGCACCAAAAAACAATGCATAAACTTCAAAGCTCGATCAGAAATAATAGTGTTGTGCAACCGATGAAGTCGGACAACTTCTTGAAAAAAAGGTTTGGCATCGTGGACAGCATTGGAGGTCATAGAACATAGAAGAAAATGTGCTTTTTGCGAGAAAAGATCCAGAACAATGGTTATAGCATTATGTCCTCGACTAGTTCTAGGCAACCCCATAACAAAATTAGCATCTGACCCATCACCTCTGATACGAACTCCATGGCCAGTACCATGTCGAAACTCAAGGCTATCCCTCCATGAATGTATTCGAGCAAGAACATAAAGGGCAAATCAGTTGGTTCTCCAGAATCCAATAGACAAATGCTGTTTGGATCAAGTCCTAAACATGTTTTCTCCTCTAGTTTATAATGCATAATTGCTGCATTAGGACCAACTGAGGAAATAGTAGGAAAACTTAACCCTCTAAAATGATCTTTTGATGTGCGAGACCCCTCTAGCTTATCACTTACAGGATTAGTTTCTTCTGGCTGTTGGTTTTTCCAGACCTCATCTACCAAGTTCGTGGATATCTGAACCAGCTTCTGTTGCTTCTTGGCACAAGCATGCTCCCATTTCTTTGCAGTGTCCACTAATATACACCAAGTATCTACTCCAATAGCCGCATCTTTTGGAAGATTCAGAATAGAAGTACTATCTATCCAAGATGCTTCGAATGGTTGTGGATATGGTTTGATGGAAATTTTGAGACGCTTAACCATGGCTGTGGAGACAACATTTGAGCTGCCACCGCCATCAATAGTAGGCTTCCGAGCTTGATTTCCACAATGAACTTGCGTCTCAAAATGAGAGGTCTGCTGCCCATCTTTGCCACCAACTTTAGGGTCTTCAAGGATGCACGTCACAACGGAGATGGACGAAACAATCTCTCCAACTTCTTTCACATGATCAGTGTTGCAGGTCTCATCATCAAGCAGGTTCTCACAATCCTTGCTAGCCATCGTACTCTTTCCTTCAGGATCAGCCATGTTAGATAAAGATGGTTTTGATCCATCATTTGGTTGCATTGTTGTTGTTTGTGTGCGGTGAGTTCCATCACGTAACTTCTTTGTAATATCTCCAGTAACATCATGTGGCTCATGATGATTCATCTCTATTGGATTTCTTGGAAACTCCAACATGGGATGGAGTGGTGGATCAACCTTCAAATTACACCTTTGCAGAGAGTGTAAAGGCTGTTGTTGCTTGCGGTTTCTGCCATCATTAGTACCCAATGCATATTCTTCTTTAAGGGCTACCGATTTGTTAAAAGGCTGGGAAATTCGAGCCGCTATTCTATCACATTGAGCATTTAGCCCTTTAATCTTTTCCAAAATTTATAACAGCAACTCAGTCTTCTGATTATTGTCCAATCTTTCATTGACCGATTGAGTAAACATGATGTCTACTTAGGCTCTGATACCAAAAACTGATGTAGGACAAAGGACAGGCTCAAATAGAAGAAAGTATATAAGAGTTATGAGCTGGAAATTCAGAAACAAAGCTAAGATTCAGGGTTGTTAGTAGAAAAGAAAGATTAAAAATAACAAAGAAAAGCCGATTGGAATCACTCCAATAGGACCTAGGTATCACACCTAGAGAAGGCCTCACACCCTCAGAATTTGTGAATCACTCACAAAGAAATCTCAAAGGATAATCTTATTCAATCATTCGCTGAGTATTCAGAGTTACATAGTATCTTTTTTATAATAAAAGAAGACCCTTGGATTACCCTACAATGGAGGTAATCAAAAGTTGACCCTAACTTAATAAAGTAACAAATAAATTAATTGATGCAATTTACCAAAACAATGCAAAATTTCCATAATTAATGCAATTACCAAATTAATGAAATTTGAACAAACCCCCTAATAATGCAATTTACCAAAATGATGCAGATTCACCATAATTAATTCAATTACCAAACTAATGCAATTTGACCATACCCCCTAATTATGCAAGACTCCAAGTGGACCCCATCGTCTAGCATGTGCCAAATAAAGGTTTGAGCTCTAGAATCCTTCTTGCCATGCCTTTTAAATACTTTAAAAGGCTGATGCCACTGTTCTCTACCACTAAGGAATAAAGAACGGACCTCAAATCTCCCCTGAGGAGAAGGCATCCAAACAGAATAAAAGGCCAACATAGAAATAACTTTTTATATTGTAAATCTTTATAGGATTGATTTGATCAAGTTTCTATTTTAACAGTTACATGACTTAGCAATTCATGACTTCAAAGATTAAAAATCTCTTTCTTTTTCAATTTAAAAGTGCATTTGCATGCTGCCAAGATGTAAAAGGAATAAAAATGATTCACAATTTCTTAGAGAAAGACCTTTGGGAGGTCGAGGTTGGGAGAAACTTCGGACAAAATAACAAGAAAAGGAAGGAAGATCTTATGCGTGCCTGTGAGCTCAGGTATTGGTGGATGTGCTACGTGCCACAGTGTCCTTTCCGCAATACCTCGTTCAAGGCTAAAATGGACCAGCGATGTGCACAAATTGACCTCAACCTTCTTCTTCTCCTCTTTTTTTTTTTTTTTTTTTGGGGTTTCAGAAAATTTAGATAAATTCCATCTTTGATTTCTTTTAGGTGTTTTATGGATTAACTCTACCTAATCAAACGGAACCTGATTGTGTAGAGCTTGTTTTCTCTCCACAGCAGGCTTCTGTTTTTCAGCTGTCTAAAGTCATTGGCAAGCAGTGCCTCACTATTGTTTATATTTAATATATTTTTGTAATTAAATGCACCTATCAATCATTTTATTCAATTTAAATTCTTCTGTATGTTAAAACCTGACCTGTAACTCTGTGTATCACAGTTGCAAAGGAGACAGAATTTGAGTTCTGGGGTTTTATTTTTGTTATGCTTGCTTCTGTTATGTCTGGGTTCCGTTGGTGCATGACTCAGATTCTTCTTCAGGTATAACTAGTGTCCGTTTCTGCTTTACATCCCATCCCAATAATTCCTGATATTTGAATTATTTGATTTTGAATTCATCTCTATCAGTAACATTTACGCCTACTTTGTGTCTGTTGGCTTGGAATCTGATCTTTCATTTTTTTCGTGCATGCTGACACCAAAACTGACTTAAAGAAAGAGGTCTATGGTAAGCACTATCATTTTCTGTTTAATTGTAAATTAATGATATCCACTTAAATTACTAAAACCAAAGTTGGACGACCCTTTTTCTTGAAAGCATCTAAACAATAGTTCGGCTGCATGCTGCATAGAATGGGTGTTTGTGGGCATGACTTCCAAAAAATAATCTTCTTGTTCTGGTCAAATCCATTCAAAAGGGATTTCGTCAGTCCTGGGTGGCTCATTTGACCTTTATCTGATCAGGCTTTAAAATTATCAAACCTTGGTAACGCTGCCAAATTAAAAGTAATCTTTGAGGCTTGGTCAGAACTTGGAATTTTTAATTAAATATATACATGTTAATTCTTCTTGTGAATTTTAAAATTTTAGTTTAATTTATACAACAAACAATTACTTTATCGTGCTTCCGATTTGGTTACTTTCAGGTTTAAGAAATCCTCTTACCTTGATGAGCTATGTGGCTCCGGTAATGGCAGTGGCAACTGCTATACTGTCTCTCGTAATGGATCCATGGGATGAATTCAAGGTGAACGATTACTTCAATAGTTCATGGAATATTGCTCGAAGTTGCTTGCTGATGCTTTTTGGTGGAACTCTGGCTTTTTTCATGGTAGGAATCTGGGTCGAACTCTTTCGACTTCATCACGTTTTCTCTCTTTGTTCTATTTTATATTTTCTCTTTTTCTCTTTTCCTGGGAATACATTGCAATTTATTTGGAGATCAGTTTCAGAGTAAACACGTTTTTTTTTTTTTTTTTTCGAAAAGTTCCTCCCATGTTACTTTATATCAGTGGCATTATCCTCTCATGTTATTTTATTGTAATCCTCACATCTATTAGCAAGCGCTTTGGAGTACGTTAATGCTGTCAAAGAACTTAACCTGTTCATCATGTTGCAGGTACTGACAGAATACATTCTTGTCTCAGTAACCAGTGCAGTAACAGTGACAATAGCAGGAGTTGTCAAGGAAGCTGTCACTATTTTGGTATGAGATGTTGTATAAATTTTTGTTCTGTTATTAAATGAATACATAATGTGTTGGCTGTATTTTCATTCCAATTGTCAATGGCAAAGAATCCACGTGTTTCCTTTTATTAGCAATAAGGCCTGATAAAAATATTGAGTATCCTGTATCATGAGTGAAACACCAATAATTTATCATTCACATGCATGCTTGGAGAATTTTCTTTGAGAGGGGGTTATTAGTATTTCTGGTGTTTTGTTTACATTTACTTTTATTTATTATTTATTTTTTTCGTAGTTGGTACTCCCCCCTCCCTTCTCCAAGGAATTGTTTGCACCTAGTAGGAATTGATCCTGAGACCTGATGCTTCATGAGGCACCAGGACATTTACTTTTATATATTGTGACTATGTGCAAAGTTTGTTATACATTTCAATTCATCATCCAAAATTGTAGAGCCAATCTTGGATATGGAAAGTTCAAAGTACAAGTTGATCTAATGCATAGTGTTTACTTCAGGATGGCTTGTGTTCTATTAGGAGGAGAATTAAATGTGTTCTATTGATCATTTTACCTACAGAAGGTGGAGAAACAGTGACCTGTATAATTTGCCTTCTTCTGGAAAAAAAGCAAATTATCTTGAAGAGCAATTACTTTGGAATATTTTATTTGTTTTGACCTCCAATAGTGCTATAATACTAAATTTAGTATTTTCTGAAATATTAATTATCGTTATCATTGCATGTAAAAAGTGAAATTAAAATTTAACATATAGCTGGCAATATTATGACACTATTTGACATAATATTGGCCTGTGCTTGTTATTTCCTAATATTAGATTGCAATTAAACATATTGATGCATTATATGATAGGATTCTGGAAAATCAAATTTAAAGAAGAGAGAATCTTAGATCGGTGCAATTTCTGGACAGCACCAACTTGGAACCCCTTATATCTAGTATTAACCCTAGTTGAGTCATAATTATGTTTATATGTGGGTTAAGCTGCTGTTGTTATGTTTTTGAGTCAATGGCATATAGTAATTTCTAAATTTTCTGTAAATGGGCTGTAATTGTGGTCCTTGGGATGTCGTTTGAAGTTATGGCATTGGGGGATCTATTTTTGGATATTAGTAGATTTAAATGAGTTTTACTAGTCAAAATCTCTTAAATTCTAAATATGAAGTCTATATTCTATATATATATATAATGAATATACATACATATATATATATATATATATATATGGCTATGTATAATAGAGAACAAACCCCTATTGCACAACCAAATCTGGTTGACCGCTTAAATAATATTTCACAAATCAACCTCTTACCTACTTTGTTACTCAAGCAAGCATCCAAAATTAACACAATTGGTCCCCAGTTACTGTCATGGGTGCTGTTTAGTGTTTAGAGCTGCCCCCAAAGCATATTCTTTCCTTGCTTAACTGAAACCCCCCAAACTCTACCCTTTCCTTGGACCTTTATGGACTAAAACTCTTTATTTCCCCTTCTTTAGCCACATAAGAACTGATTATAGTTAAGCACTAAAAGCCTTTAAAATGCCATCCTACTTTAATTTTGGTCTCACAATATGTTAGTGCCTCTTGGATCTTGTCCTACATCAGTTTGGTATTACAACATTCCCCCTACTGAAGATTGAAAAGGCGAGCACTCTCCTTCAAGGTAAGAGGTAAGTATCTTGCTACTGTTTGCTCAAGTGGAAGATTATATGTGCCTAGAGGCCCTAGACTAGAGATTCCTGACATGATTGTTTGCTTATATATCTTGCAAATGTATACCTAGAATCATGTGATCTCTCATGATTACTTGCTAATATATCCATCACAGCCCCTAGTTAATTCTTACCGGTACCATTCAGAGTCCCAGAACAGCCCCAAAGCATCATTTTCCTTGCTTAATCGGAACCTCAAACCCTACCTTTTCCTTGCACCTTTCTAAACACTATAATTCCATATTTTTCCAGCCTTTAGCTACATATAGAAAATGATTATAGTTATCCAGAAAAGTCTTTTTATGAAGGCAAGCCTAGGTGCAACGGTAAGGATGCTCCATTGTTACCTAGAGGCCATGGGTTCAAAAAAATGAAACAGCCTCTCTGCATCTGGAGGTAAGCCTTCATACATCTGCCCTCTGCAGAGCCCGCAATGGTGGGAGCCTCGTGCACTGGCCTGGAAAAGGCTTTCAATGCAACCACTACCTCACTTTTTATTTTTTGTTCTTTTTATTTTTATTTATTTTTGGAATCAGCAAACCTACATGAATTTTGTTCCCAAAGGTCTCAATTTGTGGGACCTTCTTTGCGCTAGTCCAATATAATATATTCTTAAAAGGTAGTTATAAAATTGTTTCCAATTCACATCAAATTGAAACCAGATTAACAACAAATTGAAACCAGATTAACAATTGGCTTCTTTCCAATTCACATCTAGAAACATCCTAATTGGGAACTCTTTATATTGTTGATTTGCATTAGACTGGTGAGTATGAGTATTGTATTTTCATTTTTGTGAATTTGATTGTTCTTAGTGACAGTGAAATTCTGAGTAACAGGTTGCTGATGCATAGAATTTTTTTTATATAGTTGAGTACTGATCTCGTGTGATGCATGTTTCAGGTTGCAGTGTTTTACTTCCATGATCAGTTTACCTGGTTGAAAGGGGTTGGTCTGTTGACAATCATGGTTGGTGTCAGTTTGTTCAACTGGTACAAGTAAGTAATTAATTAACATATTTTTGAAGCAAATGCTTATCTTGTTATGTCTATTCCTTTATTCTTGTTACTAAAATTAAGGGGTCATGGAAGCATGAATTCTTCTAAGGAGCTGTGTTTGTGTAACACTTCTTGAACACATATTGGGCATGTCCATAATTTATAAATGATCTTAATTTTGGATAATGGCCAACGCTTCTTGGATACTTGCCAACACATGATTGTCAAACTTTAAAATTGAGATGTGGCTTCTTTTAGTATAAAAGCAAATGGTAATCGTAAAGATAAATCAAACTAAAGATTTATATGAACTATACTAAAAAGTTTGCCCTATTTAAAATACAAAATAGGACACCAAAAGGTTTTGTCAAAAGGGGAGGACATGGAAGAAGAACAGTTATCATAATTATATGTTTATGTATGCATGTACATATTTATAAATGTTAATACATACTACACACATGACATGCCATTCTTGTGTCTTTGTCTTTATAACATTGGTGATTATTTTATAATTGATTCATAAGTTATTTAATTCAATTTACAGTGATAAAATATTAGATTACCTGTCAAAAGCTGATATCTATTAAAAAAAATATTATATTATTTTTTATGACCAATTCTTATACCGTTTTCTATATAATAAAGGGTCATTCTCTAATTGGTTCCATTTAATAGAGAGGGCCCTTGGAAGGGTGGACTAAATACAACTCTAACCTTTGGCATTATGTGCACAAGAATAAAATACTTGCCTCTTGACCTATAAGGAAAAACTCTCTTAGAAGTGATGTGGTAGAATAAGATTATTATGAAATTAATGAAAAAGGGAAAAAAAGAAAAAAAAAAAAAAAGAAAAAAAAGAAAGAAAGAGGAATGAAAACCGGTTTAACCCATTTTTAATTGAAAAAAGCCATGTCGTTCTCCATCTCGCTTCACCTTCTCAACACCTATGCAGTTTCTCCCTATTCCAGTCTACCTTGCAAGATCTAATTTGTCTATCCCATTGCTCAAGACATCACCATTAAACATTTTTTTGCGTTCTTGAAGATTTGCATACCTTTGCTCTAATACTTGCCTTCCACGCGGTTCTCTCTCTCTCTCTCTCTCTCTCTCTCTCTCTCTCCCTAGATCGGGGTTATGAATTTAGCAAGAGTTTGTATTCCTGGAGTAAGCATGTTCAAACTTTTACTCTCTTATATGTGTGTGTGTATTTAGAAAGGTTTTTCTTGATGGCCCAAACAAAAAATATGTTTGTGGATTCATTCAATTTTACTACCTTTCTTCTTGTGTTTGTGTAGGTAATATATACGTGTGTGTGAGTATTTTTATATACACTTTATTCACATCTTATTCTTTCTGGTGAACAGGATACTCAGCCTTTCAGGAAGGCATTCAGTAGGATTCTAAAAAAACCCCTTCCAAACCCTAGATAATTCCCCAACGTCAAATCCTATATGTTTGTAATGCTCTTTACACCAATCAGATTCATCCCTTGTGTATTCAAACTCCTTCAATACTGCAAATACCCACTGAATGATGATATCTTGAGTAATGCAATTAAATTGTCAAAGAAAAATAAGTAAGAGAGAGAGATGGGCATGAGAGGGAGAAAAAGGGACTGAGAGAGCATTCAGATGTTTAATTGAATGAATGGAAAGGGGGAAAGAGTTAAACAGATACGGGTGTGACTTGTGAGAGGAATATAATCCGATTAACTTGATTAAGAATGGGTTGGATCAGGTTTTGTTTTGTTTTTTTTTTTTTCTTTTTTTAATTTGATAAATTATGGGACAGATGTTATAATCTTATTGTGGTACATCACCTGTAAGGAGAGAGTTCCTTCTTTTATTTCAGGAAGCAAGTATTGTTCTTTGCACAAAGTGGTTGCTCTTGGGCGAACTTGCATTCTCATGCTTGACACTCCAAGCATTTTATCAGTGCGCCAAGTGATGCCCCCTTAATTTTATATACTAAAAATATACTTAATTATTGTGGGTTCCTAATTTTACACGTGATACCTAAGTGGCATACTTTGCTGCACCACATGGAATTTCCACTCGTCACGTGACATCTCCAAGAAAGTCCATGCGTCAAACCTGCAGTTCTATACATGGCTCCCTCAATAGGAATAATGTTCAACGGTCCTATTTGAATGTGGCATATGTCAAACTTCTATGAAACAATGTGCAGGTTAACTATCCAAACTTTGAAGCCACTGATCGAGGCAAGGACGTCTTCATTGTGTGCTCTATAGAGTACAGATGAACGATCACGCATATTACTATTTTAAATTTGACAGCACCACTCTAGATGACATAATTATGATACCCTCAACAGGGCTCGATTGCACATTTCTCCTGCCATGCGATCCATTCTGTCGACTGAGCGCCTTCCACGTTCTTATTTTTTTGAGGGGTTCAACCCCTTGCCTTTTCGATAGGTATAATCACGGGAGGTTTGGCTGGAAACAGACCTCCTTGCCTTCACCACTGCATAGATGATATTTCCAATGAGCCCCTCGCCCTCTTCACAGGCATAACTACAGTACCACGGTATTGTCTATCACTAACACAGCATGTCTTCTCCTTAGACACACCTAGCTGCCTTCTTCACAAGCATATCTACAATGAAAACAATTGTCCCCTCCATGCACCACCCTGGTTAGGAACTGGACTCAGGTTGCTTCTACAGTTCTGTATGCAGATACTGCAGTGGCCACCTCGTGGTCATGAGATAGTCCAATGAATCTTAAGGATGCTTGACTTGGTGCTTGAAGTTATGGGCTCCTCAAAGTCTGTAAGAACCTGGACCTCACTCTATGACATGGCAAAACCCTGTTAAACGATATCTGTATGTTGTTAATCGTCCAAAAAATTGCTCCAACACATGGAAACACCTCATTGTACCGCACTGGCAGCTAATTCAAGAACCTTGAAATCTTGATGTCACCGTAGAGCCTATAAGCCTTCCCTCAGTAGAGCATTACCACCTCGATTGTCAAAAGATCTCCCCTGCTGAGTCCTAATCTGACGATCACTCCCACTATACATGAGAACATCTCATTGGACCACGATAGGGCACACAGCACGACCTATGAGACCCTTTCGTCGGCATGACACCACCTTCTCTCACCCATAGACCATCAATAGACTCTACATCTTATATTGAAGTTACAACACTTTTGCATTCTTAGTACTTTTTTGAAGAGAATTGGGAATGGATAATCACTAAAAGGCAAGGCACTGACCTTAAGGAGTTGGTGGTGGCCTTGGCACTGCCACACAGATAAACTCTCTCTCCCTCTTTTATAAACTAGTCTCAACTCCCATGTTGCCTAGTCCACCGGGGATTTGCATTGCGTCATCACCTTTATTTCATACTTACCCACAAGAACCCACAACTATTAATGCGTTCTGGCTTTATTGTACAATATGCTATGCAGGTCTAGGCTATTGCTTGCATGCTTGTGTTGGAACTTGCAGGTCTTGATTAATTTAAGGAAATGAAGATGCTTCTTTAATTATGTTTGAAAATTTACTGATTTTAAAGGCAAACTGTTTACTTGAACTGAAGTTTCATTTGATGATCCTTCCATTTTTAAAATTGCAATTTGCTTAGGAGAATATGATTGTTATGTTGATGGCAGCAGTTTCGTATGATGAAATTGTTCACTTGAATAATGTTAATACTGCGCCCATAGCATTTGAACATTGATAGGCTCACATTACTAATTCTGAATATCGTTAGCTCTTCACTTTACTGACTTGCAATAATTGGAACTGGTTTCTTCTTTATATACAGAGACAATATATAATATGTATGTACTGTTTTTACTTGATTCTAATCATTATTGACTTGAATCATTTAAGAATCTTTTAGAGTTTGTTGGTAAAATATCAGCTTTCTAAAAACTAATGGTAAGAGTCAACTTTATGTTGAATCACAAAGCAGAATGTGGGAATATATAAATTTCACTTTGTGATGTCGTGGTCCGAATTTGGTGCCAGGTCGCGTGGTGACCTGTTTATGACCCTGTTTTGACCCATTTCTTCTTGTGGGTCGTGGACCCTAATTAGTACTCTCTTGTAGCCCGATATATAAAGGCGTTTAGGGTTTGGAGTGGGATGAGATTGAGACACTGAAAATCGTACAGAAAGAGAGTGGGGCTGAAACTTGTAATCTCCTATTTTTCGCATAGTGAAAACTTTCGCCGGATCTCCACCGTGAATGTAGGCTTTGCCGAACCACGCTAAATCTTTGTGTTCTTTGTGTGGTGTGATTACTTTTGTGTCGTGTTTCTTGATTTATTCTTGGGTTCGCACCCTTCGCTGCGTTTGTCGTAACAGACTTAATAGTTCATAAGACCCACGCCACTTCGATTGATTTCATTATGAACCATATGCTGCATTTTTCAATTAAGTACTCTCAAAAGCTTTTCACTTGGTTCTATGTGATATAGCTTTCCTTTTTTTGTTTCCTCTCTGCTACTTAATGTCTCAGATACCAAAAGCTAAAGAAGGGAGAAACAAATAAAGATACGGGAGAGTCACTAACAACCAGTGCTGCTGCCAAATATGTTATTCTTGAGGAGATGGATGATCAAGATAATGGTTCTTGAAACTTCGATTATCAACATCATCTGATTCTAATAAACTCAAGTAAGCTTGTCCACGAATCCTGTTTAAGAAAATTTTCTTGCTTGATCAGTTGAGACCTTTCTTCATAGAGTTTATTGATTCTTTTAGCATGTGTGGCTGGTCACCACCTAAGTTGTAAATTTGGAATGAGTATCTCATTGTGCTTAATGAAGTACTCAAATAATGAAATACATGATACATACATTTTTTCTTCATTTCAACTATTTAGAAGTCATGCATCTAATTGATTCTGACATACATGACAGATACTGCATGCTGAAGTATAGTTGAAATTTGGTGCTTTCAGGTTTCAACCGTAAATTTCTGAAAGAATGTGTGGAACTAGGAAATATGAATAATTCACTTGATCTTCTATTCATTTCTATCTTTGCAAATTTCTCGAGACTTAATTTAGAGATTGAGCTAAAGCAGAACCAAATTGTCACTAAATATAGATAAAGCATGTATCCCTTTTTGGGAATATTCCTTCCTACAATGCTACATTGTGTCCTGTCTGGTCAAAGAGGCTGGTTACAAATATCTGACTGATAATTCAAAATAAAAAAAACTCATTCATGGTGGTGGTTGGGATGTTAAGAAAGTAAATTACAATTGATACTGATAATGACTCAGACAAAAAATCCCCGGATAAGATTTAATGTTTCACTAAGCATTTTATTTGTGATTGTACATCAGTGTCATCATATGCCTACTTAAGATTTGAACTTCATTACTTGTCCAAATATACATTAGTCGCATCTTTTTGGGCAAGGACATTAAACATCTCATAAACAAGGTTGCCTTGGAATTATGTCATCAGTTGTGTCTAAGCATATTTCATTCATACAAATGAAGTTGTATGCCTCCAAGATATTCCTTCAATTTGGTTCCAAACAAATGAATTAACTGACTATGCTTTCTGTCTCTTATGACTACTCTAGATTTGATCTGGTGCAGTAAGATATGATTCAGAAAGGGGTAATTCTCAGGTTTGCTTGATTGAAAGGCTTTTGGTGGGCACAACTTGTGGGGAAGCTGAGAGTGGCACGATATTCCTTTCTTTTCAAGCTTTGCCATTCAATTTCTATGGTTCCTTTGTCGTCTTGGTTGGTAAGGGAAGGAAGTTGTGGTTGATTAAAACAAGTCAATCATCAACCAAACAATTGCCATTGACTAGATGCGAACCATTAGGATAAGGACCCCTTTGTTATAATAGCATTTTATATATTCAATCAATTGTATATTATATTCTGATTCTGCTTCAGAATGTGTCTCCAGATGCCAATTTTGATATTAATCCAATTTTTCACCATCATTATTGCTACTGTCGAGAGATGTAATAATAGATGGAGAGTGCATTTTTTCCATAGTTTGTTTTTCACATTTTCTTATATGGAATGTGTTGCTCGGTCATGTTTGTAAATATTAAATTAATATGCATTAAACATTTGGTTATAGAACTCACTTATCAGAATACTTTTAATGCGTCTTGGTCAGACTCTGTTTATCGTGTGCCCTGAATGATATATAGCATATTGCAATTCAATTTTCTGTTTTGTGCAGTGATTGCAATGTTTGCTGATCGGGCTGTGTCAATCTTTTCCCTTTCACGTGTAACCTTTCTACTTGAATTACGTCATGGCCATTGTCACTTCTTTTAGACGTTTGTGGCCTAGTAATTTTATTCATGTATATTATATTATAATATTATAAAGGGCTAATCTGGTCTGCGATTTGATGCAAGTAGGTTTATTTTCACATCGTCGGCTCATCCATGTTACCATGTATATTATATATAGGGTAAATTGCATTGCTGAGGTTTTGGTCAACGCCAGCGGATGGTTAATGACTCTTTTACATTGACAACTCTTGAGGTTTAAAAAAGTGCAAGGCTATTTTATGTGGCCAGCCAAGAGCAAGAGACAGTCTCTCTCATCTTTGCTCGTAATGGTTCTTTGTATTAAGTAGGCATCAAAATTGGCAAACACAGGATGTGCAAGTCCTATGAAATATGGGGAGTTGAAAGCAGAGAAATTTGCTGAACGCTATCATTTTAATATGCACTGGACAAAACTTTGCAATGTTTGAATCTTTCATCCATGGGAGAGTGGGCAGAACAACTCCATCTCCATCTATTATGAGTACGTATTATTTTATTTTTAACATATTTTCGGTGGGGAGAGAGATAAAGTGGTATAGATATGATAATTAAAACAATTTTTTTTTTTAAAAAAAAAACTTATTTATTCCCAAAATTAAAACGAGATAGAAGAAACAGAAATACAAGTAAACTGCAGCAAAAGCCCTTACACGAGAAGCAAGCAAAAGTATATTCCCAACAAAACCATACAACAAAGTAGAAGAAAGACTAACTACACTCTACGGTACATATCAACCTGAATAAATGATTCAGAAATTTTCTTGAATCAATACCAAAAATAGTCCATGAGGGACACCCACAGAAGTTACGAACTTGAAATGAATATCGATTCCTAGCTTTGTTGTTGCAGTGTTGGTAGAAACATAATTTTGTTTTCTCGAGTAATAATAAAAAGTAAAAATGACATTTATTAACACTTGTTGTCACAATTTTGAAAGCAGAAATTAATAACAGTGTTTAAATAATACATATTATTTAACATATTTTTGTTTTTGTTTTGCCTTTTTAGAAGCTGACAATAGAAAACAATAACGTTTCTCGTTACTAATCGCAGCCTAATTTTGTGCATTACTCCCACAATTTGGGTGTGTGTATGTGTGTGTTGCTGTTGCTTGGTCATGGATTTAAATATTAAATACATTAAATATTTGACCTTAGAAACATAAAATTGGAGTATTAAAATTGAAATTAAAATTTATGGAATTAAAACAAAAAATTGAATTAAAAATCTCTAATTTTTATCAAATTTTAATTCTAAAGCTTTAATTTCCTACAACCGAACACATCCTTAATACTTAATTTTTTTTTTTTTGGTAGTTTTACACACTCGACGTACAGTGGTACTTTCTTGAATAACAGTGAGAGTGAGAGTGATGAGTGATGAGTGAGAGTGCTCCTTGGGGTTTAGCTCTTTTTGCGTTGAATTTGAAGACAAGGCCATGCATTATCATGGCTATATTTTCAAACTTTCACTTGTAACTTTCTTTAAACGCGTCATGGCCATAGTCATTTCTTTTGGACGTTGGTGGTTATGCGTACCAAAAAGTAAAGGCCTAGAATAAGCATCATCGTTTGACTTTTCACCCAAGGAATGATATGGTTCATTTTTTTTTAATATTTATTGACAATCTTAACCTTGGTTTCAAAGACTCTATACAACCCTGCCTCTAAACTTTTAGCCAACGAGAGAGAGAGAGAGAGAGAGAGAGAGAGATTGAGCGTGTAGATCAGGAGTGATGAGAAGCTACATGTCAATGGATATGGGGATGATTGTTTGTTGTGCTATTGTTGTTGTTGTTGTAATATGGGAGGCATGGAGAGTATTGAATTGGGTGTGGTTGAGGCCAAGGAAGCTAGAGAAGTGCCTGAGGCAGCAAGGTCTCACTGGGAACTCATACAAACTCTACTTCGGAGACCTGAAAGAGATGTCGGAGATGCTCAAAGAAGCTAAGTCCAACCCCATCCATCTCTCCCAAGACATCGTGCCACGAGTCATGCCTTTCACCCATCAATGCATCCGCAACTATGGTATGTCTCACAAAATCTGACTTGTATTGTCAGCTGCATAATTGCTAGAATTAATGGAAATTTGGAAACATGATTGAAAAAATAAATAAAACCCGCCTTTCATGCATGCGCTTTAAGTCAAAATATGTAGTAGCTCCACAAATAAAACATCTACTTGTATCTGTCTAATAGTGTTATGGTATCTGTCTAAGGCTTATATATCTCTCTCTCTCACACTCTCTCTCTCTCTCATTCGCAGGTAAGAATTCCTTTAAATGGGTTGGCCCCAAACCAATGGTGCACATCATGGATCCTGAACTCATAAGGGATATATTGACTAAGAGTGATTACTTCCAGAAGCCCAAGGGAAATCCACTAACCAAGTTGTTAGCAACTGGATTGGCTTCTTATAACGGTGAGAAATGGGCTAAACACAGAAAGATTATCAATCCTGCTTTCCATCTAGATAAGCTCAAGGTAAATTAATTACCTCTCTCTCATCTTCTCTTTACTCCTATTTACCATTTCAATACATGCAACAACTCTTTTTAACTAGTAGTAGTATTGGTTTGATTTTTTAAAGTTCAATTGGCTTTAGGCTGTGTTTGATTTGATCAAAGAGACCCATATCAAAAGGCCTCTACAATAATGATAGTTAACTTAAAAAAATTTTCAACAACTCCCAAAACAGAAAAACACTCTTGCTAGACAGCATGCATTTAGGCATTCATCAAACATCTTAAAGGATAAAACAAAGGATTTCAAAAGCAACTAAGTTTTATAAAGCAACTTTTATGCAGTGTAACGGCTCATGTGAGGCAGTCCTCTACCTTACTAGAGGCCTCGCATAAATAAGGAATTGTGGACACAACCTATGAAGGGAAGACTTTACCTGGCAGACTTCGATCTACTTGAAGAAAATAAGAACATGTAGTGAATTTATTTTGAGAAATAGAAAGAATCCAAACTATTCAAATGTTATGATAGTATTACTGACAATCAAAATATATTCCATTTTCATTGTTTTGTACAGCAAATGCTACCTGCCTTTTATTTGAGTTGCAGCGAGATTATGAGCAAATGGGAGAAGATGGTGTCTAGGGAGGGGTGGTGTGAGTTGGATGTGTGGCCTTGTCTTCAAACTTTGACCAGCAATGCAATTTCGCGCACAGCATTTGGCAGTAACTATGAAGAAGGAAGAAGGATATTTGAACTTCAGAAAGAACAAGCTGAGCATCGAATTCATGTTCTACATTCAATCTACATCCCAGGATGGAGGTAAAAACTATAGATTCTTCCAAGTTCCAGATATATTTTCTTTTTTATAGTATTGGATTTTACCAACTTCGGTGTGGTTTTGAAAGGTGAAATTCCAGTGCTAACTTTAGTTTAGCTCTAATTTTTTTGACATTGAATTTTAAAATTAAAGTTAAAAATCAAAATATTTTGTGAAACATTAAACACATGTTTTTAAGGAACTTTATTTTATGTAGTGATTACTTATGTATTATCAGACACTAATAACATTGAAATTGCCGAAGTTCATTTCAACACTCAAATGGACTTTTCAAATAAATAAATAATTAAAAGAAATAAAAAGCTTAATACCAGCAATTCTAATTCAATATTAGTTCAAAATTTATTATAATACTAAATCCCTTTCTAAAGCCAAATATATATATATATATATATATATATAATTCTTCATCTAGTTGTTTAGTTCTTTTGGTTCTTTCTACTTTTGATATATATATATACATAAAAGTAGAAAGAACCAAAAGAACTAAACAGCTAGATGAATATATATATCAAAAGTAAAAAGAACCAAAAGAACTAAACAGCTAGATGAAGAATTTTCCCATGTTCCTTTTTCTTTTTCCTTCATATTTCTTCACCCTATTATTGCTTATCCAATGTATGTACATACATACATATATATGTGTGTGTGTGTGTGTGTTCAACTTGTTTATTGCAGGTTTTTGCCAACTACGAGAATCCAGAGGATGAAGGAAATCCAAAAACAAGTTCACGCCTCGATAAAGGTTCTTATTGATAAAAGAATGAAGGCAATGAAGGCAGGAGAAGGCAATAATGATGATTTATTGAGCATATTATTGGAATCCAATTTCAAAGAAATTCAGCAACATGGATACAAGAATGTTGGAATGAGTATTAACGAAGTCATTGAAGAGTGCAAGTTATTTTATTTCGCTGGGCAAGAGACTACTTCATCTTTGCTCGTATGGGCGATGGTTCTATTAAGTAGGCATCAAAACTGGCAAACACATGCTAGGGAAGAGGTTCTGCAAGTCCTGGGAAATAACAAGCCAGATTTCGATGGGTTAAATCACCTGAAAATTGTAAGTAGTTGTGTATGTTGAATTATTTAATATTTTAAAATAATATTATATTTTTAAATTTTGAGGCTACTATATTCTACCATTGAAGTTCATCATGAAAAATACCTTTAGTAATCTATAACAATAACGAAACATCATTAGGGATGACAAGTGAGGTAATTGAAAGCTTTAGGCATTACATACATTACATGCGCCACGATGTTTAATATATTTTGGGTACAAAACAAAGCTCATATCAGAAGTCCAACAAGGAAGCCTAAATCAGAGATGATACAGTCTAAACCTGTTCTTTTTCAATTGGGGATAGAATATATGTTTACTTATCTCAATACTACTCCTAAATATTGATTTTAGTTTTTTTATTTAAAATTAACTCAGCATTATCTATGACAACAAAGGAATATAAGAACCGACAAGTATATAATTCTGAATTGTCAAAACTGATTCAAGAGATTATCTCGTCATCCTTGAGAAAAGAAATATAGAAAAGCCTAAATTTAGACATGTTCACATGAAGGGCATTGATTGGTTAATCAAAAGTATCATGGCATAGTGCATCTTAAGGAAATATATATATATATATATTTTACTAATATAATAGAAAAACCAACTTAGTTCTTTTTAACCATCCTTAGTTTCATAAAATGTAATCACTTTGCTAATAGGTTATTGTTCTAGCTACAACTCTTTTGACAATTTCTTTTTCCCAGGTAACAATGATTTTGTATGAGGTTCTAAGGTTATACCCACCGGTAGTTGCAATTCAGCGAACCACTCAGGAAGAGACTAAATTAGGAAAAATATCCCTTCCAGCTGGAGTGCATCTCTCTTTACCAGCAATTCTAATTCAACATGACCATGAAATATGGGGTGATGACGCAAAGGAGTTCAAACCAGAGAGATTTGCTGAAGGGGTGTCAAAGGTCACAAAGGGCCAAGTTTCATTTTTTCCATTCAGCTGGGGACCCCGAATATGCATTGGACAAAACTTTGCACTGATAGAAGCGAAAATGGCGCTAGCTATGATTCTACAACGCTTCTCGTTCGAGCTTTCGCCATCCTATGCGCATGCTCCTTACACTGTCATAACTCTTCAACCTCAGTATGGTGCTCACTTAATTTTACATAAAGTTTAGAATTCAAAGCTTTGCAAGATTAGCATTGAGATTACCAGTTGGGGATTTGTTTCTCATGTAATATGAATATATAACTTTTGGTAGAAAGTATGACCGCTGTTGGAGCAAACATGTTGAAATTCAAAAAGCTCAGTCAGTGAAGTAACCCTTGCCTACATTATACGAATTTGATCTTGCAACATTTTATTCAAGGTTGTGGAAAAGAATAAGGTTCTTTCACCTCACAGAGCAACCTAAGGATTTAATCTTTCATGGATGGGAGAGTCCACTAATTTTGAGCAGGAGGAGTAGTCGCAGCAGAATTTGGGTGGCACCTCAATGGCTTCCAATCATACTCCACCATGGCCACAAGCAAGACATTTTTATTTTGAAGTCATTAATAAGAGGCCTCTTGACCAGCCAATGGGGAAGGGAATCGTTGTCCATAAAGCAGCCGAGTAAGCACCGTATTGCTGATGAGAGAGCACCTCTTTTCGACACCAATCTGAATCGCAGCACAGATTCAACACATCAGGTATGTGATATGACATTTTTCACAGCTTTGTTGGTTGGTTGATTGGATTAGGGTTTTCAATTTCTTTCTTTTCTTTCTCTTGAGAGACAACGAACGAACTATATTTGATTTACCCTTCGGATCCGGGTCGGATTGAAACTGCCACCCAAAACCTTATCGGGTCATGTCTTTTGTTTTTTTGTGAATCATTGCATCGCATCGCAACTCTTTCTTTAAACGTTCCCAGAGAGGCGCGCGCACACTCTTTTTCTCTAATTTAGACGAAGCATTACAACGTTGGCTCCCTTTTTCATCTTCTCTCTCATACCAACAAAGAAAACAAACCAGGTTTATTCTCTTTCCTTTGAGTGAACTCACATTTATATTTATGGAGTATGTATGGGAACGTTTAAAGAAAGTTTATGTAGTAGCCTCGCATTATAAATGTCTGCACTCATATTTATGTATTGTATACGTCAATTTAAATGTATGAATTTACGAAAAGGGTTCATTGGGCTTATTGAATGCCAAAGTTTGAATCATTTATGCCACTTTTTCCTTCATTTTTTTTTCCCAATAATCACCATCTACTAGGTTAAATGTTTCCCTCTCGGATTCTCAACTTAGGGCTTAGTTCCTTTCCTTTTTTTTTTCTTTTTTTTTTATTTATTTATTTATTATTTATTATTATAAATAAACAAATTTTATTAATAATAATTTTCTGAGATAGTATACAAAGTTGAAATGCAGAAGTGTTTTGTGATCACTATATATGTTGTGAAATATTACTGATCGAATTGCAACTACATACAACGATGTCTAAATCAAATAACAAAGTATTACTCCTATAACCAAAGTCTTTCGAACAAGTAGTATGATTAGAGGAACTTTTTGAAAAGTATGTTCTGACCATCATTGAGAAATTTTAGTAAGTATTAAGGAAATAAAAAGGCAAAGATTTGGAAGATGAATTCAACCGGCTTTCCCCATGCTTAGCGGAGTTTTCATCTTCTCTGTCTTTGCAAATTAGAGCAAACAAAGGTTCCTCTGAAAGTTGGCTGACACAAAAAGTGTACTGAATATACTTGTTGGTACGAAGAAGAACAGTTGAGAACTTAGCTACAAACAGGGTGTGCAGCCTGAGTTGTACAGACAAAATAATTGGTCAAGCAGTTGATTTTATCTATAAAAATATAACCTTAGATGGACATGTAACAAATCTATTTAGCGATAGATTTTTCTGGGCTACAAACTATTAGTTGCAGAAGGGACGGTACATGATTAACAGAGATGTGACCAAACAGATAGCAAGTTGATCAAAAATCTAGACTGGCGAAAAACTTTGTTCTGAAGCTTAGATAGAAAAGGGTTACCATGTGAAGTTAAAAGCTTGAAAATTGGATGTCTTTTGGTGAGGATTTGCACTAATTTTATTGTGTCACAGAACAACAGAAGAAAGTTACTCTGGAATCAAAGAAGTTCCAAAATTGTAGCATAATGACAGGATGTAAGTACTACAAACAACCATGCGGTAAAAATAGTATATGAAAATTTTCAATGGAAAATGTGGTGAGGAAGAGATAGTGCTATGAAAAAAAGTCAGCTATTTTCTTGTGGTGGTGTTAGTCTACATTCTTTATGGAGACATTAAAGTGCACAAGGAGACATTAATAAGAACACTATGGCATTATTCTATATCTATTAAAACTACTTCCTACAAATACAAAAAAGTTATTGACCTTGTTTCTGTATGTTCTAAATTTTTTGGAGATTATTGGCGGATTTCTTTATTTCCTTTTTCTTTTATTTTCAATTTTATTTTTTATTGCACTGTTCTTGTAATGCAATTAATGGCTGCTAGTTTTCCATTTTTAAAGAAGAATATCAAATGTTGAATGCATAATTTAGTAACCTCAGTCATGATATAAAATTAATTTGTAATCATAGATAAAGCATATGAATAGTTGTAAACTATGAAGCGTGGATATCAAGGCGGGACATGGATATGACATGATAAAGATATGTTGACAAGACGAACGTTTAAAAGGTATAGGAAACTGATACAATAAGGACATAGGAAGAAAGTAACATTTTTGTATATAGAATAATGGTTATGCAACAAACATTATTTCTTTGTGAAAAATTATTTGAATACCTATGGTCATAATAGAATTGTATTTAATGAGGCAATGAGTAACAATAACCAATACTCAACTGTACAGTGTCAGAAAAAGAGTGTTATGCATGCAGACATTTGTATATACATGGAAACACAATAATTACAATGGCTCCTCTCCTCCTCTCATGCCTAGTTCTTCTTTGATAGACCCTTCTCATATGGATATAGTCCTCTGTCTATTTATATGATGGTCGGACTAATCAAGAAATTTTAAAATGTTGTTTCTTTATAATTATACTTTATATCTTATGTTCAATATTTTTCCAGCACATGTTGATGAGTATTTAGTAAGTGTCAGGTACATCATTGAAACTAAACATTTTATTTTAAATTATGGACAATGTGTCATACAATTGTTTGGTAGTGCTCAAGAAGTGTTAATATCCAACACTCTCAGAGACTCTCCCACAGAAACGATTCCTTCTTAGAATTGTTAATTGTTAATTGTCAACTCTAACATTAATATTTCTTAGTTTGTATAAAACTAACAATTACATGCTTCATTATAAAATTTACATCAAATTTGCTTATGGGAAAACGATTGCTTTATAGCTGAAAATAATGTCTTCAGTAGCATTGTATTAAAACACAGAGATATTGTACTTAATGGTTTTAGACTCTACATATATTGAGCCTTGAGAGAAGTACCTACTTTCTATGTAACAGTGTTTATGCTTCTTCTTTTTTTCCATTTATGACTCTTTCGAAGTTTGATTCAATAGATCTTTTGCAGGATGTTGATTAAAAGAGATGGATATTGAGGATATACAATCAAATCTCAATGCCTTGAGAAAATTGTATGGTCTTTTACAAAATGATGGGGATGGTTTGCAAAATGCAAGCTCTCTAAATGTAAGTATTTTCTTAGAAATGTGACCATCTTTTCTATACATACCACTTCATTTGTCTACAGAAGTGTGCTACACCCATACACAAGCATAACATTTATGCAATATATTTGAGCTTTTCTATTAAAGTAGATAGCATACAAGGTTAAACTGAATTGTTTAGCTTGGTAAGATGACCACAAACTTTAAAACTGGTGTGAATCCCTTTGAGGGGTGCTGTTGTTCACATGAGGAGCAGGCCTGCCTTTTTTTTTTTTTCAAAAAAATGAGCATTTTGAAATTCCATCATCTTTGCCTGTTCTGTAAAAAGGCGGAAAATGAAGTCCATATCTTTTAATACCTTATTGTATGCTCTAGATTTTTAGACATGTATATGAGTAAACTAGTGAAGTGCTAATGGGGCACTAGCTTGATGCTTGTGGCTTCTACCAACATATGCTAGACACACACATAGTTGTTATAGTGATAGTGGTGTTTCTATAACAAGCTGGGATCTAGAATATTCTTTTTTTCAGAACTCATGGTGTATTCTATCAACAGCTATTTTTAGTTAATATTTAGATTCTTAGAAATTTTAAAGGCAACTTTTGGCCATTTCTTATTATATGACAAAAATAAAAAGATTTTGGGCCGCTGAGCTACATTAAAATTTATTCCATTGTTCTTCTGCATTTGTTGATATGATTTGAATTTGCTATTATCAGAAACTATATGTAAATTTTTGGCTGTTGTGGCCTGAAATTCTGCTCAACTTTTACATATAAATTGTTAATAATCTTGGACAAAGTCAACTCTCTCACTCTCACATACATATGTACATGCATAAATGTTGCACCATGAATAATTTTGTGGTAGGTGATGAATTTTATCTTTTATTATGGTAGGTGATTATTTCTATCTTTTATTGTCGAACTCTTTTTATTCTCTTGTTTGCTGTATTTCTTGTTCTTTTTATTATTATTTTTAATGAATTGGAAGCTTATGACAGTTTTATCATAGTATATGATAAGGCTTACCTCTTGGTTTACTTGATGATAGAAGGGTTCTCATATATCAGTTAAGTAAAAGTTACATGCTTATCTGAGGTCTTGGAGTTATCCCGTGTGAGCTTTGTTTTTGAAACAGTTGGATGAAAAAGCACGACTCCTGTTAAAGGAACTACTGGATGGTGCAACAGAAAGGGCTTTTGAAGCTTATTCAAAGGTACATTTAATCATTTTTTTATTTTTTTTTTCATAGTTGATACTCACACACACATGCCTCCATGGAGGCTTGAACCCTTGACCCTCCTTTGGGAAGTAAGGACTTGATACCGTTAGGCCACTGGCTCGTTGGTAAAGGTACATTTAATCATCTTTTGTTCTTAAATTATATTTTTATAAATTTCTACATTAGACTAGATGTCTCTCAATGAAAGTACTTGGCCATCTGGAATCAAAATGCATGCAGTATGCGTTCTACTGGGATTTCCAAACATGACCTCCTTGAATATCTACAGTCCATTGCCGTCTTAGGTTGAAATGGTCCCTGCGTGATGTTTGTTGTCTGATTTTGTCCTTGATGTGTTTGTGGAACAGATCATAGCAGCTCAATGGGGTACTCAACTAGGGCCACCCAAAGACACTTTGAAGCTAGTGCCTCTTGCGTCAGCAGATGATGTATCAAGTACTTCTCCTAGCGTAGCTCAAAACTCTCAAAATGATCCAAGTTTCCAAAAAATTGCTTTGGAAAAAATTGAGCGGGAACCTTCTGAGCTTCCAACTCAAGCAGCTGTTACAGAGCAGTTGAAATTGAGAATTGCTGGAAGTGAACCTGAAGAGAGAAAGAAACGTTGCCGAGTTTGCCACCACAGCAATGTGAAGCAGCTGAATTCTGCCGAAGAGATAAAACCTTCTGAAGATAAAATTCAGAATTCAAAGAAAGATTATAGTTTTCAGCACCAACAGCAGAATTGCTCTAGCCATAATCTTAGAGTTAGTAGGCTAGTCAATGGTTTTGAATTAGATAATATGGGTTTTGAGTCTGCAACTAACATTGAAAATGAAGAACAGAAGAGGAGCCGTGGAATTCAATACAACCTGTCTGGGATTGGATCTTCACATTTATCGAGTATTCCCACTGCTGAGCAAGAACCTGTTGGGAACAATCCAATGCCAAAAGAAGTTATAGATGCAATCAAACAAATTGAATTATGTATTTCATCTTTACAACTAGCTGCTGAGCATGTGGTCCCTCTAGAGAAGAAGAATGGAGCTCAACATGCTGTGTGGAAAAGTATGGCCAATCCAATTCCTGGTACAACTACAAATTCGGTTACTTCCATAATGCAGACTAAAGAGAGGTTAGGTACAAGGAGTGAGCTGAGAGAGGCTGGTGAGTTTGTTCTGGGAAGAAATGATTCGCTGAGTCAGGCTGGTGAATTTGTTCTGGGCACAAATGATTCACTGAGACAGCGGGTCAGTACAAGTATTCGGGAAGCCAAGGGCTCTAGTCTGGTGCATCAGATGCCAACTGTGAGCCAGGTCAAGGTGACTAAATTGTCAAATAAAACAAAGAGTCAGACTTCAAAGCCCGTTCCACCAAGCAATTACTTGCTGAGTCAGTCAGTGAATCAAAAAGTTGGGAGAAGCAAAGCCATTGTTTCTTTGGTAGATGATACTCTGAGTGAGATCGGGAAGGCCATTGAGGGACACAAGTTGCCAAGTTGGAAAGCAAGTCAATTTCCTGGTCAGAATGATCACATGCCTAGTCAGACTCATAAGTTTGTTCAAGGCTTTAGGGTTCCACCACCTCAAAAAGAGCCAGCTAAGATACTGAGTCAGATCGACAAAGAAAATCGGGATCAAAATAGAATTCCCCGACTGTCCCATCCCTTTACGTCATATCAATCAGTAGGTTCAACAGATTTCATGGGTTTCAATGGTAAAAGTGAAGCGGTTGATGCTGGTCACATGCTGAGACGGACACAGAACAGGGGGTGTAGGACTCGGAGTAAAAAAGTTTTGCCGCATCAGACCATAGTGAGGCCTTCTCTGCTACATCAAAAGCCCAGTCAAATTATGGTGCACCACCCATTGTCTGAGGATAGGATGGATCAAAAACGAAGTGGAGCCCAAAAGTTGAATCATATGGGCCAACCGAGAAAGATCTTTCCTCGTGAAGAAGAACCGGAGGCGTCAAGTTCAATTGCAAGTGCAAATGCTAGTTATTCCTCAACCCGGACAAGTCAGTTAGCTAGCACTAGCAGCGATGAGAGTAAAAGGTCTTCACTTCCAGGTAAATCAAGGACTCGGCACTATATGACTCCCACTAGTACCAGTGAGAGTGAGGTGTATCGACTGCCCGGCAGGTCGTCCTGTGCTAATCAAGTGGATTCTTCAAGCAGCAGTGAGACTGATGGGTACTCATTGCCAAGCAAGGCTCAGTATCATCGTGAGGGTCTCACTGGTAGTGATGAAAGGGACAGCTACCCACCATCTGATTGGACAACATCAAGTCGTCGCATGGATCTTTCATCTCAGCTGATGAGTTCCACGTCAAGGAGAATAGGTCGCAGCAAGAACTACAGAGCAAGGAATAGAGCAACCCCTGAGAGACAGAATGGACGATTGAGAAAACTGAAAGACAAGCTAGCACTTATCTTTCATCACCATCACCACCACCACCACCACCACCACCACCACAATCATGATGACAATGATCATAGTCACAGTGATCGCCAGACCAATGTTCGTGATGCTGCATCATTATGGAAGTATGCTGGGAAAATATTTCATGGTGCGGGCAAAGATGAGGCTCATGGGAAACGGATGGTTGAGAAAGTTGGGAAGTCTCTGGTCCGCAATGCACCGGCTAAGAACCAGCATGGGCATTTCCATATGCTTGTAGAAGGGCTTTTGAGGCATGTTCGTCATTCCAAGAAGTTAAAGCCATCAACAGGTGCCCCACGAGTAGCAAAAAGCCAACATGGCAGAAAGAAGGTAGGAAAGAAGTCACACTGGTGGCAAATGTTGCGGCACAACAGGGGAGTGAAGCTGCCTAGCAAGCCACGAGTGAAGCTGGGATATGGGAGTAAGAAACCACAGTTACGAGCACTACCAAAGACGAGATAAGAGTGTTATGCAGTGGTTGAGTTATTCAATGGTATGTAATTTCTGATATATGCAATTGTTCTTGAAACGATGTAAAAATTGGTACTAATTTGTTTTTGCTTTTTAGGAATCGAGTACAAGACCAAAAAGTGCTGATTCCTATCCATTCAGGCGTGTGGGTGTTGAAATGCCTTTTTTATTGTACACCAATTTAGCAACTGTGGTCTTTCCATGACCTTCAACTCCAACTATAGAATGAAGTTGACATTCTCTTAACATGGCAACATCAAGAAAACATCTTTAGTGTTTATTTTGATATGCGATTTTCGAGATAGATTAACAAACAAGAAGATAATGCTTTTTATAACAAAATCAAATTAGAATGTATAACAGTATTGGTGCACCAAGTGAAATGTTAACTTCAACAAGGTTTATATAAAAACTTAATTCCCATTTTACATTCCCCAGCTAGAAATGTCCTTGATCGATAGTGACTGCTAAGCTTTCGATACTAGACTTTGTGTAAAATTAAGTGAGCACCGTATTGAGGTTGAAGGGTTATGACAGTGCAAGGAGCATGCGCATAAGATGGTGAAAGCTCGAAGGAGAAACGTTGTAGAATCATAGCCAATGCCATTTTCACTTCCAGCATCGCGAAATTTTGTCCAATGCATATCCGGGGTCCCCAGCCAAATGGAAAATATGATACTTGGCCCTTTGTCACCTTTGACACTCCTTCAGCAAATCTCTCTGGTTTGAACTCCTCTGCATCATCACCCCATAATTCATGGTCATGATGAATCAGAATTATGGGTAATGAAAGGTGCACTCCAGCTGGATAGGATACACCTCCTAATTTAGTCTCCTCGTAAATAATTCGAGGCAGTGCAACTGCTGGTGGGTATAACCTTAGAACCTCATACAAAATCATAGGTATCTGTAAAAAACATAAAATGTCAATGGTTGTAGATAAAATGTTAGAATTTATGTCGTTAAATAATAAAAGGGATTATCTTGTAATGCAATAAATACATTATTTCAAAATGAGATTCTATATAATTAATTGTTACATCAATGCTATACATTATGCCACAAAAATTTTAAGGAACCAACTGATATCTCTCATGCAAAAATGTGCATGTTCTGCAGAATAAGCCCTTTCTATTTTCCTTTTTCCAAAGATGACGTGACACTCTTTTGAATCTGTTGGGATGATAAGAATAATATTCTTTGGTGTGTCTCTGATAAGAAAAATAATTGACATTTTAGGAGTGATAACGAGATGAGTCATAATATATTCTCTCTATCTGAAAAATAAGGAGATACCTGTAAAAGATTTTATATGCCAATTGATGAAAAAAAAAACTTACAATTTTCAGGTGATTTAACCCATCAAAATCTGGTTTGTTATTCCCAAAGACTTGGAAAACCTCTTCTCTAGCACGCTTTTGCCAGTTAAAATGCCTACTCAATAAAACCATTGTCCAAACAAGCAAAACAGAGGTGGTCTCTTGCCCAGCAAAGTAGAAAAGCTTGCACTCTTCAATCACGTCTTTAGTACTCATTCCAACATTCTTCTTCTCTCCATGTTGTTGAATTTCTTTGAAATTTGATTCCAATAATATACTCAATAAGTCAACATTACTGGCTTCTCCAGCCTTTATTGCCTTGGTTCTTTTTTCAATAATAACCCTTAATGAAGCTTGCACTTGTTTGTCGATTTCCTTCATTCTCTTGTTCCTCTTTGTTGGCAAAAACCTACACGAAAATATCAAGATACAAACAAATATGGGTTAGTATCTACTTAACTCTTTGGTTTCATTTGTTTCTTTCAAATTCTGATCCCTTCTCTCCATTTCTTTTTTCAGAAGGTATTTAGTATCCTAATCAAATTTTGTAAAAGCATAATTTATATTTATCATCTTAATTTGTAACCAAAAAACATGAAAAGATGGGTTTTATTGATAACTCCATTAAGTACTACATTAGTTGAACCCTAAACCCTAAATCCTAAAAGAAAAAGTAAAAAAACAGTTTCAGAACATTCAAATTATTTCCTTTTCTTTTTTTCATTATTTTCCCCCTCCGAGAACAAAGTTGTTCTCATAAATGGAACGTAGCAATACTTAAAATGGTAGACTAATTTATTGCTAAACTATTTCCAGCACTAAAATTTCATATTTCGAAACAGCAACAAATGAAGTAATATTGTTTTACCTCCATCCTGGGATGTAAACCGACTGTGCAACCTGAATCACAAGCTCAGCTTGTTCCTTTTGAAGTTCAAATATCCTTCTACCTTCTTCATAGCTACTACCAAATGAAGTACGTGAAATGGCATCGCTAGACAACATTTGAAGATAAGGCCACACATCCAACTCACATGACCCCTCCTCTGAAACCATCTTTTCCCATTTGCTCAACATCTCGCTACAACTCAAATCAAAGGCTGGTAGCATATGCTATATACATGAAACAATGAAAAGTAAAACCCCCATGACAGTCGGTACTTTATATTTAGAATTGTTTAGATTCTTTAATCAAGCATGTCCGTTTGGAGTTTAAGTCCTCTAATTGACTTTGCTCTAAGCAAAGCAATTTCAACATTTATCCAAGAGGAAACAAAGTTGGAAGTTTATTCTTACAACCAATCTCAACCTTACTATCAGATTTTCTGAATGGGATACAAAAATCCCTGAATGTCATCTGTGTCCATGTTGCAAGAAAATTTCGGAATGAAAACTTTTCTTTAAGGAGTGTTATGCAGGAAATTATATTGGAGAGGAGAGTGTTGCTTTGGCCTGAAATAAGGCAATAGATGGATGACGTACGTACCTTGAGCTTCTCAACATGGAAAGCAGGATTGATAATTTTTCTGTGTTTGGACCATTTCTCACACTCGTAGTCTACCAGTCCAGTTGCTAGCAACTTGGCCAGTGGATTCCCTCCACGGGGCTTTTGAAAGTGATAATTCTTAGAAAGTATTTCTCTTATAAGTTCGGAATCTCTGATGAGCACCATAGGTTTCGGTCCAAGCCATATAAACGAATTCTTTCCTGCAAGTAAATTTGTTAGTTTTTTTAAGTGCATGTATGTTCTCTTCGAAGCTATAATTAATATAGGATGGAAGGAATTTTAAAACATCTCTAATAGTAGTTGTTTTCCTTTCCCTCATTGGAGTAGTATCAAAAAACACAAGTGGTCTAAATTAATACGATTGGCAGCAGAAATCAGATAATTAAATATTTGGAGACATAATATATAGTAATAGTACCGTAGTTGTGGATGGATGTATGGATGAAGGGGATGACACGGTGGACGATATCATGGGAGAGATTGATGGGCTTGGACTTGGCTTCCTTAATCATCTGTGACATCTCTTTCAGGTCTCCAAACAAAAACCTGTAGGAGTTGCCAGTCAGACCTTGCTGTCTCAGACACTTCTCTAGCTTCCTTGGCCTCAACCACAACCGATTCAATAACCACCATGACCATCCAACAACAACAACTATTACAACAATAAAGCAAGAAACAACTAGTATCCCCATTATTCCCATTTTTCACAGCACCTTCTCCGTTGGGCGCAACTCCCTATATACACAAAGGGATTATATATATGTGTGTGTGTGTGTGTGTGTGTGTGTAATATGTAAATTTAAAGTTAGAGATCAAAGGGAGTGGGAGAGAAGATACGGCACGCAACGATGAAAGCATGACAATTGCCGGTCAATCAACAAGCCGTCTCTATCTTTAAGGATAAAACTACAAGCACAACAAACCAACAATGCACGCACCCACACAACACAAGAAGCCAAACATTTCTCTTTCTATTCTATAAAACTTTCACACTAAAATCGTTTTATTGTTACATGTAACAACGCAATCACAATATATATATATATATATATATATATATATATATATATATCTCGTCAATTCCGCCAGTAAACAACACAAACTTGAGGCCAATTACAGCCATCACACAGTTTTCCAAGGAGAGACTACCAAAGCCTGAGAATACCATTTTCTTCGGTCATATGGAACTTCTCTTTCCTTTTTATATATATATATATATTTTTTCTTTTAATGAAAAATAAATTCTTTTCTGAAATCCAAAAGTATGAATGAGGAGGACCAGAGCTGGGCCCATTGTGAGGGGGTCCAAGACCCCCCTATCATTTCATATCATTACTCTTTTATTATTATTATTATGGAGTATAAACGTATGAACAAAGAGAAAAAGACACACACAAAATAATAAGAATAATAAAATTCTAGAGCCAACGCTGTTTGCACGAGTAAATCAAAACAAATCAGAGCAGTGCCTTTTCTAATTCTCCCATTCTTGTTTTCATCCTTTTCTTAGGTTTTTCTTTTCAGTCCATCGAACTTACCCATGGCTTAATCATCTTAACTTCATTGATTACATTCCATGTCAATGATATTGGTCAATATATCAAAGTGAAATTAACAATATTCGTTAATATAGCTTGATAGTACTATCACTCCTCCCAAAAAAAAAAAAAAAAAAAAAATTGAGCCCTAACTTTCAAGTAAAATTATGATGATGGTATTTTTGGAAGCATCAAATTAGTATCTTAGATTGAAATTGGAGAATATTCAATTTAATATTTAGAGTGAATTTTCTTTAATTTCAAAATCAAAATGTCAATTCAATGCTACCAAACGCAAAACGATTCAAAAGCACTCTCCTTTGTAATGATTTGATGGGAAATTTTTGACATGTACCATCTTTCTAATTTTTAACTTGGAAAGTAATCTCATGTATAATATATACTATATCTGCATAAATACTTTAAAAACTGAATTTAATTTAGTTCATTCTTTCTGCAAGTAGAAAACTGAAAATTCACACCTGAAAAACATTATGATGTAAAACAGGTTGTGGTTGCCTGTATGAATCATTTGCATTTGTAGAAGGCCAAACAATGAGGCTCACATAATTTTCGGTGCAGTTCCGACAAGTCTATTTTAATTCACCAAAAATCTACTCGCCGCAGCGAATTTCCTGTGGAATCGCTTAAAGAAGACGCAACTTTACAAAGCATTACAAAAGGAAAAAAGAAGGCCATACATGAGACCTGTTGTGCGCGCGCACACATACACAATAAATAAATAAAAATGGCGCCAAGAATGAACTTGCACACTGCATTTTCTCTTTAGCTTAATTAATACTAATGAAAAGAATATATAATACTGGTGTGTCATAAATATTGGTAACTTTGCACTAGAGGGACAATTTAAACATACCATTAAGCTCAAACCAGTAAAGGCGCAAGACGCAGAAGAGTAAACTGGAGACCTAGGCCGAGAAAAAGAAAAATGACCAAGTCACTGCCCCGGGATCCTAGGCAGAATCTCTACAACCTGAAATGCTGGTATTTCACATTTTATAGCTTGGACAGTAAGAATGTTTAAAATTTAAAGAAAATTTCACCATACTTCAGTGGTTGGATTAGTCACTCGTGCCTAAGAAAAAAATTCCTAACTCCCGTTCTTTCCTTCATCCACATAGCAGTTAATCTTTAGTAAATATACTCCCATTCTTCTATATCCTGGAGGTTCCGGCAATAGTACACACCTACAACTTGTCCCTATTGCTTCCTTCCGCGATTTGTCAAACAAAACTGACCACAAACATAAATAAAATCAAGTATTGTTATACCCATCAAGTAAACACACTTGTTGTGGTCTTGATTATTAATATTAGGAGGCTAAACATCATTTGCAACATTTTTTCCCTTCCTTTTTTTGATAAGTAAAGCAATTCAATGAAAAGCCCCACAAGGTTGGAAAAACTACAGAGAAACACAGTAAAGTAGAGGAATTAAGCCTCAATACATCTAAGCAATTCCATTAAAAAAGATCAAACTGTCTACCAAGTTCTTTGACATATCATTATTACATCATTCTTAGTGTTTGGCTTGAACCCAACCACATTTCTGTAAACAAACTTTACTTTCAAACAAAGTTATCCACAATGATATAGCAGAGACAGTAAATCAAATGGCAATAAAAGGATTAAAAAAGAAGAAGCAAGAAGTACGAACAAGATAAATCTCTAACTAGCATATAGAAGCCATTTGACAAACAAGATAGCTCACTATTTTGTTAGATGGCAACCAGTACTCTTACTTGTGATATACATGCTAAACAGCAGAGTAATTGAACTAGCATTCAAAAGAGGCATTTTAATGCAGGGCTGTGCATTGACATTCATATAAGCTAAAAACCTGGAAACATATATTTGCTTGCTCTTCCTATTGTTTTTCACTTCACAAAATTTTCTTGATTCTTGCAACTCCGTCCTTTCCGCCAAGAACAATAAAAGCTCCCTTCAAGGTAACTGCATCAAGAGCCTATGTTTGCATCTCCACACACTCCATTTCCTTTGCCGAGCAAGACTAAGCTCTCCGTGTAATTACCAACATAAAATGATTCCGCAACACCATGTATCCCACAAACGCTAATTTGTTGAGCCTGTTGATCAACTGAAACCATATCCCCATTTAATGGCAAAAGAAGTTCACCGTTCCTCCTGAATCCAACTATATTCCTATAACCTCCATCCAAATCTACAGAGAACAGTTGGGTCCAAGACTCTTCCACGCCGTATTCTTTCATCACCCATATTGACACTTGTCTAGTTTTTGTATGATACTGTAAAACAGAGTGACTCCTTAATCACTGCAATATTCAAATCTAGCGCACATGCGCACACTAGACTTGTCGGCAACTTCATCTCGTGGAATTCCTCAGTACTCATATCGAATGAGAAGATCAAAGGAGGATAATCACGATAACCACCTCCAATCCAATGGACAGCCCCATTGAAAAAAGCCTGTGTGGCAGATGAAGTATAATTGATTCGATATCGGGGACGAGTAGTGCTACTAATGCTTCTCCAAGAACCTTGTTTAAGCGAGTACAGCTCAACCTCTCAATGGGAGATATCTTCTCCGAATTCAGGGAAGACAACTCTAACCACCTTATAATCATTAGTCCTGCAATCGAAGCCATAACCAAGAGCAAGCCAATGCGGGCCGTGCGATTGAAAGGTAACACGGGGCTCTGGAAGCTCTACCCATTTTCTAACAGTGGGGTTCCACAGGAAGGTAAGATCTACAAAACTATGTAAATCATCACTGAGGCATACCACACCATTACAAGAACCAAGTATCCGGAAATAAGAATGAAAATATGGACTTGGACTTTCGAGATTCATACGATATGCATCAAATGATTGGTTATCAAAATGCAGTGAGTAATGCTCTTTCCTTTTGTCTTGATTTTTAGTGCAGTGCCTAACCAGAAGTAGGTGAGTGTTGTTGGTGTTGTTCAAATGGGTAGTTCGATTGAGATACAAGGTGATGAAATTATCACTAGTGATTAGAGAATTCCATGATTTTCAAACGCACCTGATCTGCAGAAGATTCTTCACAGGTAGTCTTGAGAGAATGTCAGTGATCACTTCGTTGGGCAAGAAATCCGACATTGTTTAGCAGATTTTAGGGATTCCAAAACACGGAGACTCTGAAACCCCAAAATTTTCAGAAACAAACGATATCTAATCCCCTAACCGAAAGAAATCAAATAAGATGATTCTATATCATATGAGCCCTAGCTTTGCCCCAAAAACGAAACCTAGACAGACATATTGGCGAAAAAAGAGGACAGCGTTGGGGGTGTGACTGACTGACAGATCAGAGGGCGATGCCTTTTGGTGTTTTGCATAGCGCCTTCAACGACGTCGTATCAGTGATGCTGCATTAATTTAAAAAATATCCAAATTCAATTTCAATCCGTTTGAATTTTCATGTAAAATTGACGAAATTTTTATTTGCATTCCACACCCTAATGCGAAAGTAATAAGTCTCCTCCCACGTGATTTGCATTCCACGCCCTAACCCCAATTCCACATATGAATAATTATTTTTGCAAAAAAAATTATAATTAGTTGGGCCTCTTTCCCCCTCTCTCCAATCTTTAATTTAAATTATCTGTTTTAAGATTACCTAAAAAAAAACTGAACCAAAAAATTTGTTATTACTTTCTTTTCACATGATCCAAAAATAAAAAGATGTACCAAAAAAAAAAGCTCTACTGAATAAACTTTTGATAGGAAAAAAATAAAGTACTAAGGAAATTAAAAAAAAAAAAATTGAAGGTTACAGTAGAAAGAGTAGATATGGTATTATAAAATAAGGAATAATGCATTCATGAATTTAGGAATCGTCTTGTCATTTCTTTTAGAAGAAAAATACAATCGGTGTAAAGGGCCTCCCTTTCATTTATCACTATAATGCGTTGTAGGGTTTAAAGAAATATGTATACAATTTTACTTTTGCATATAAAGGGATGACTACTTGTAACATTTATCACAATATAAGAGCTTTATCATCAATCATGATCCACCATCCCTCTCTATACATGTATATCTTATATTGTTGGGGACATTTTAACTCCCTTCTATTACTCTAGTAGCACTTGTTAGGGCGACACATAGCAACCATAATCTATCATATCGATCGTTGAAAATTAAATTTCACTTTTTCAATAACAACATAAGCATAAGATCACATCACATAAGCATATGTGAAGATACAATCATATATCAAT